CTCCCGTGGGCCAGAGGTCAGGCTATCAAACATGTTAAAGGCCAAAGGGAGTGGAGAATTCCTCTCTACCCTCAAAAGAAGGAGCATAAGTAAACCCCTTTCACATCAAAGGAATTGGAATCTGTTCCTCTCCTGCCTGGCCAGAAGAAAAGGGCACATTTCCTTCATGACCTGCTTCTCACTGCCCCACTCTCCTTAGGAGACAGCATAATTCAATTGTTGATATTATTCCATCCGTTGGATTACTTGGTTGTTATGTCAACTTTATTATTCAATCAGTTGATAATTAGTCAATTATTCAACGACCACCTAGAAACCAGTTCTTTCAAATCTCTGTATTGCAGAGCTTTTTCCTGGATGCAGGCCCTCATCCTACCCAATTATCCACCCCAAACCTCCACCTTGGAGTCATCCAGACATTTCAAACTCACATTGTCCACGAAACTCATTATTTTCTGAAAACACTCTTCTCTAGTTCTAACTTGTGTTACTGGCACCAACCCAGGGGCCCAAGGTACAAACCTCAGCCCGACACTCCCTCTCGCTCCTCTCCCACCTCCACCTGGTCACCTCTGTAATCTCCTAGATATGGCTCAACTTGCCCCACGCCCCTGCCTCCCTACCACCTTAAGCCCAGCCCTATAACCTCGCTCCTGAACTAGGATAACTTCTTAACTCCTCTCCCACTGACTCACTGACAGACTTAGGGCATCTAACTCTATTCACCCATAACCTGGCAGAGCAAGTTTATCCCCACTAGTCTGGGGGGAATCGTTAACGTCAGGCGTTAATGCCAGGCACTGGGAGGAAATACAGTGGTGACCATAGGAATGAATGAATGCATGAATGAGACAGCTAGTACTCCTAGAATTAAATTCTAAACATATGTCTCTGAAGAAGTGAAGACTCAATAAGCTGAGGTTCACATCCAAAGGCAAACCAACATTCTACACACTCACACATGTACTCATATCTATAGCTGTATATTCTTACTCAGGCTGCCTGACATGATAGAGCTATTCCATGATAAAGTGTATAGAATCGCGTAGAACAATTGTTTTCAGAAAAAAAAAAACTGTGAACATGCAAAGCACAGCTCTTCTAGATACCTCTAAGACATAATGGACAAACATACCATCAAGTCCTCTGTGGCTTGGGGAAGGGGTTGGCCTTTAGAAGAAAGGCCCCATGCTAATATCCAGATCAAATGCCAGTATTCTGAAACAAGGCCACCTTCCACAATCATCCACTGGGGAAATCCACGTGAGTCCATAATCATGCTGAGGAAAGAGACACTTCCATGTTATGCAATCCTATATATGCAATCGTGTCCCTTTGGTTATGAAGCTTTAAAAATTTGCACTAGGAGTGAATGACAAGAACATCCTTGCTAACCTGGCAGTTAGTCCTTAAAGAAAAAGGCGTTAACCCCGAGTGGTCAGCAAATGACTAAGGTTGTTAAATAGGGTCATCCAAGCAGTTCCAGGCCTGCCTTCCCGACCTCTCCCACAGTGCCAACAGATAACAATAACATCGATGAAAACCCTCCCGGGCAGGATGGGAGAGAAGGTGCTGGAACCAGACTGCCTACATTTGAATCCTGGCTGAACAGCTTTCCAGTTGTGTGACCTAGGACAATATCCTTGTCTCTCAGTGCCTCAGTGTTCTCACACTTAAATGGAGGTGATAATAGCCCTGCTTCATGGGGTTGTAGTAATCATTATAAGAGTTAATATTTCTTAGCACAACGCCTGGCACAATCTGAGGCTCGATGTCGGCGATAGTAATATAAACTGTAATTATATTACAATAATAATACATTAGCATTAGTATTCATCTCATTCCTCTCCTTCCATCTCCACAGAGGACTCTATGTCCTACCAGTGCTCTTAAATACTAACAGCAGTGGTTCTCAAGCTTTAGCATGCACCAGAATCATCGGGAAACCTTAAGACCCAGATTGCTATGCTCCAGACACCGAGCTTTTGATTCAGGGGGCTGGAGCAGGGCCTGAGACTGTGCATTTCTAACAAGTTAATCTCAAGTATGTGGGTTCTGCTGGGCTGGAAGGACATGTTGAGAAAGACTGACTAAGGAGGCCTCACTGCATCAGTGGAGGAGAGTGTGCGGATCCAAACATCCAGGGCTTTCTACGGCCTTCTACACACTGAGTATGCTCTTCCCGGACTAGCTCAACTCAGTAACTCCACCAAGAATTCCAAACTCAGCATCAGGAGCCCCCCAGGCCTCTACACCAGCATGGACAGCACTGTACTGTCGTCAGTGAAATCAGCTCCATGAGACTAGGAGCTCCCTGGCAATCAGGGCCTTCCCTTATGCAGCACGTAGGAAACTCTCAATAAATGGTGACCGATAGATTGAAAACTGGGAGAGCCAATGGCCAAAGGCATCCTTGGAGAAACAACCCAACTGGAAGGTCTTAGAGACCAGGGATTTTTTTCTCAGAACTGTTCACTGGACATGAACTGTCCCAAGTCCCCGATGAGCCTAGGATTCCTCCCACCCCAGCCAGCAGCTTCTTCTCTGCTCAGTGGACCACGAGTTCTTTACCTCCAACCACAAGTGGCCCTCTCTCTCTTTGAAGGCAGTGGAGCTTCAGCGTCCGGCCTCTCACTGGAATAGGCCCCTCCGAGAGCTACAGGCCGCTGGGAGATGCTGAGTGTTCTCACGGAGAAGGGTGCAATCAGGAAGGCTTTTTATGTAAGTATTTCTGGTAAACCGCCCAAAAAGAGCTCAGCAGAAAGAGACAGAAATCTCCAGCATATGGTTGTAATCGCTTTTTCCATTCTAAACAAGCATTCACTGTCATAACTAATTTTGTATTATTTTCTTAAAGAGGATCCCCAAATTGTTTACCTTTCAGGTCTCACAACATCTGGATCTGCCTGTTTCACACCTGGGGCATCCTCTGCTCCTTGGCCCTCAGGCTTTGCTGGGAATTTCTCTAACTCATCACCCACTCTGCCCCTTGATTACAGCATCTTAACCAAGCGCAGCACACTTTCGTAAACGCCTTCTGGGCAGCATTTCAAATGCTCCTAAAAAGGATTCACGGTGTCTTGTTGATTTCACTGTCAACTGAATACAGAGAAAAAACTTATGCCAAGCACGATACAGGCAGAATATCCTACCGGATCCTCCCAACACAGGCAAAAAGCCTTTCTTCAACAAAAAACACTTTCTTCAACCTGTAAGGTAATTTAAATCTGAAACCCCTCCACTTTTGTATGTAATTACCAACAGTGAAAAGGAAAGTTTTAAAAAAGCAAGGGCTCTCCATGTTGGGAAATATTATTTAAAATTCTAAGCACTATTTTCATTCACATCCTATACAGGATAATAATTTTAACTTGAAAGTCACTTTTGTGGTTTACATACACATTAAGAGATTGTCAGGTGAGCTGTTATGGATCGTTTACTCAAAGACTAAATTAGAAACTTTAAGATTCCTTGTCAAATAAGCTCATTGTGGGACTCCACACTTCTAGAAATAGATTTAAGGAAAAATAGATATATCTTTTAAAATAAATATTAGACATATTCATGTATGATTTTAGATTTATACACACAGAGTCCTTTTTGGGTGAAAATAGTGGCCTCTATTCACGTGGAAGCTATGGAAAGAAATCAAGCTAAAATATGTTAAAGTACAAGAATAATGTGAAAATCAGGGGTTACCTGAATGTGTAATACACAAGGAATAAATATAAAGTTTTGGTAACTTGTCACACTTGGATATATTAGGTTCTGAAAAAAATGTTAAGGAAGACACTCAATAAATTTTATATTTTAAAAATAGCTGTTCATCTTGTCCTAGATTTTCATAGTTTAACCACTCAAGTAGAATGAAAACAGTGCTCATTTTATTCGTGACGGTTACTTTAACTCCCAGGACATGGATTGCTTTATGAATATAAATTTGAATTCTTACATCCATTAAACCTGCCTTATTTACACTATCTGTCTCACAGCAGCATGGAACAATGAAAAAGCATGGCCTCTGCACTTAGAAATATCCACATTGAACTCCCAGGTCCACCAGTTACCTTAAACAAATCGCTGGATTCCTCTCTGCCTCGGTTCCTCATCAGTACAGGGAAAGTACTATCCACTTTGTACATTTTATGCGCCCCAGATGAAGTGCCTAGCATGGTGCTCGGCACAGAGGTGATTCTTAGGAACCTTATTTTAAGGATGGTTTTGATAATCCTTGTCACTTTGGATGACAGACCAGGCTGATGACAGATATTCTTCAAAGATTTACATTCTCCCAGCATTTAAATGCTTATTACTAGAGATTAAAGAGGTGCCGCGGAGACAAAGGCACAATGTGCCCTTGGTCTCTTTCTGCACATCCACCTGTGAGGAACACGTGCTCTGATAATCCCCTTTGTATCAACACCTGTGCTACCAAACAGCGCGCCAGCCTGGCCCTCCAGGGTTCCCCCTGAACAGGCGTACAACAAATATCTGTTAACACTCAAATGCAGCTGACCCAGGAGAAAAATGAATGCTAATAGAAATCAGAATTCATAGACCTGTTTGCGACTCAGTGTCGCAGAAGCAGGTTTCCTAAAGTCCCAGGCGCAGAGGGAAACGGGTAACTAGAAGTGGTCCCGGCCGAAGTAAGTTCCAGAGCATACTCACGCAAGCACGCGGCTGAAACCCTCAGGCATCGCAGAGAGTTCGTTCAGATGTCTTTATCTAGTTTACGGAAACCCAACCACTTTTAAAAGCCATCAGCGCACCATTTGCCTAACAAATGGACAGTGGGCTGGGGAACTAATTGCGGAAGCAATTGCCTCTCAAGTTCACCACCACTATTTTTTTTTTTTTAATGTGACAAGACGCTGTACACAATTATCCTAAGGCTTTCTGCTCTCCTGGGGCAGAGCAAACGTCTGCGCAAGGAACCAAACTTGAATCTCCAGGTCACCGCGAAGAGAGCGCATCAAATCCGACACAAGGGAGGAACTGACCTCTGCAGAGAGAGACCCGGTGATGACGGTCCCTGACCAACTCCGCTGCGCCCCGAGGAGACCAAATACGTGTCCTTTAGGATGCAAAGAAATCCTGGCGCAGGCTGCCCTCCCCCAGTGCGCTCTCCAGCGCTCCAAGGCTCCGACTGCTGCCTCCTGGCCTCGGCACACATTTCTGACCTTTGTACCAGCAGCTCCGGGGTAGGAGCTCCCCTGGATGGGAAATCCCCATCTCCCCACTTCTGTTGAAAGCAGGCAGCCGCCCGCAGAAAGAGCACGCGGCGACCCTGGTTCCCCTCCACTCCCTGTACCCCCACCGCGTGCGCTGCCAGGTGAGCCTGGCACCGCCCTCACCTGTCCTAGGCGGCGTCCTGGGCGCTGCGGAGGGGCCGGCGCGCGCCCCTCACCTGCCGCTCGCACGCGCGGGGAGCAGCCGGGACCGGCGGGGACCGGGGCCAGGCCAAGGGCCGCCCGACTTCCCCGGTCCGCGCCAGCCCCGCCTTTGAGGGGAGGAGGCGGCCGCGTCACCTTGGAGCCGCCTCGAGCGGAGAGCGGGCGCGGCCTCCGGGCCTCGGCCGGCTGTCGCAAGCAAGCGCCGCCGCTCGCGTCTGGGCACCGGCTGGGCGAGGAGGCAGAGTTTACCCGTAACTCGTTCGTCTGGGTTGGCTCACGGGAACAGAAAGACGAGTTTTAAAAGTCTGGCAGTGACTAGGGGAGTTGAGTCTGCTCGCGTTTTAGTTCAAAGTAAGGAAAGAGGACAAGTGTGGGTTGCAAACTTGAAATTGCTTACTCACTTGTCGTCACTGATACTCAGAGGGGTGCACCTTGCTCCCACAGGTTCCTAAAGCATCAAAGGGAAGAGAGCAGCCTCCGTTTTTTATCACCCTGACCGTGGCAAAAGGTACCAGAGCCAGGCAACCCGTGAAACCCGTGCCATGTGTGCGCGAATGTGGGTGGGAGTTGGCCACCCAGATGCTCAGAGCTCTGTTTTCTGAGCCGGAATTACCCATCGGTAAAGATTAGGCCGACAGCCCAGCCCAGGCGAGCTGCCTGAGTACAAAGAGACCCTTAACGAACCATCCGAGGTGTGGTGACCGGCTAAGTGTTCCGTAAATATTTGCCTTTTGCTCCTCTCCCTTGCATTCTTATTGTTCCTCCTCCCTCTTCCCACCATAATCCTCCTGCGCTTTACTGCCCCTTTATCTCTGCCTGGTCAGTTTCTTTTCCTGTCTATTCATGAGTTCGCGGCCTCTGGGCACCGAGTCTGCGCCCTGGAAGGCGTCGTTGGTTTAAGAGGAGATCTGCAGGATGCCACCCCTGCCTTCGGGGAGGTCAGGAACTCCCACGCACACCCTCACCACCCCCACGAAACAGCAGTTTTGAAATTAGATAGAAGAGAGTTATCGAAACATGCTAAATTGGGTGTAGGACAGGCCCGGCATTCTATAAATTCTTAGGGGAGTGGGCGGTCTGGGCACTGGAGGGGAGTTTAATTGGGGTAATTGGTGATTAAGAGCTCAGCTCTGGAGTCAGAAAGACCTCAAATCAACTCCTGGCTGGGGGACTAATTGTGTAAATCGATGAGTTCACCTAACGTCTCTGAATTTCTGCTCTCTTTTTAATAAATTGGAATTAAAATAATAGCTATTGCATAGATTTTGAGAAATAAATGGATGATTTTCATACAGTGCTTCCCACAGTGTCCTGGATCTTGATAAGCACTTAGTAAAGGGTGGCTAATGCTACTCATAGTACCGTAGGAAATGAAGGGGGCCGGGAAGAAGAAACTCTAGAACACATGAGAACTTGAGAGGAAATGATAGAAAGCAGTGCTACCATCATCAGGAAAAGTATTCTTACAGTAATAGCTAAATAGCAAATGAAGCCACACAAAAAGCTTTTTGCTTCTAATGCCTGCCACGATGGAGTTCCTGTTCTGTGGTTCCGGCCGCCCAACCACAAGCTGAAGATGACTAACAGCAGTTGTCAAGCATTAAATACTGCACAAAGTGAAACATCTAAAGACACAGAAATCTAAGGTCATACTTCCTCCCTCTCACCACAAGACACACCTCTGTCCAGCTTCTTTGAGTTTTTTTTTTTTTAACTGTTTTTAACTCTGTCTAATATATTCCTCCCAGGGAATAAGAGTGTTGGCATGAACCACTTTAACTTCCCTGCAGAACTACAGGCTGCAGTTGGACTCATCTCGGTGGCTGATAAATTTTCAATACGCTGTGGTTACGTTGAATTTCTTGGTTTAAAGAGGTTTTGAACCAAGTCTCATGGGCACTGTCAGTGAATTCGTAATTGTTCTTTTATTAGAAATGAACTCTCCTGCACTTATAAGAGGCTGTCTTCTCTGTCTTACCTTCCTAATTCACATGAGCAACGATATATTTGGCCTCTGAAGAAATGACTCTATTGTCAATACGATAATCGAGGTGGAGATTTCTCACTCTCCACACCAATACTGGAGTCCTATCAGGTGCTTTCGCAGCTTAGACAACCTGTGCTTGGTTGCATGGCGATCTAATAATTTCACCTGTTCTTTTAAGTATTCTGTGGCAGATGTGTCTTCTGCGGGTCCCGGGTACTCCTTTGCTGTCACAGCTGATGCTGCTTGTCATACAGTCAGAAGCACTGCTCTGGAGGTGTCTTGCCATGTCACTGTGCCTGTTTGAATGAGCCAGAGACAATGAAACAGGACAAGTTACAATGGCTGTGGTCGCCTGGAATCTCAGCCCATGGGGTTAAAGGGGTTTTCTCCAAAAGAGAAGATCCTGTCTGTAAATGCATGGGAGCGAAAGCTCCAACTCTTCTCTGCTCCTAGGGAATCTCAACAGGCCTCTGCCGACGCAAATAATCCATAACCAGTCTATAAATGAAAATTTGGGTGAGTTTATTCTGAGCCAAATTGTGAAGACCATGGCCCAGGGCCTTCCTTCCCCCAGGAAGGAAGAGCACCAAAGAAGTGGGGTGTACAGAGTGGTTATATACCATCAAAGAGCATGTTTCATTTATGATTGAAATGTCCCTTTTACGATAGTCACTAGACTGCTCTGTCGGCGCAGCGATTGATGGACACAGCAGGTAGTAGTTCTGCTATCTCAAGCTGGGTGGTCACAGGTGAGACCTGGGCGGTCACAGGGGAGTGCAACAATTAGTTCCTAGCCTAGGGAAAGATATTTGTCCTTAAGCAAATGCCAATGTCAGGTAAGTTGCACCTTTATCTTAAGGCCCTTTGATCTTGTCTTGGGGACAGAGCAAATGCTTAAAGCAGATATATAGTGCGTGCTCACCAGCCAGTCAGGCCCTTATGGAAAAACAAAGTCGAGCTGAATTAGGTTTATACCAAATGGCTTCCTCATATACTCCAATATATCCTATTGCTTGCAATTTATTTGTCACCTCCTTATGTCATCCCATCGCAGCTCTCCATGAGGTAAATCCAATCCGGCTCTAATGGGAGGATTCAAGGCTAGTCTTGGGAGTACAAGTCCCCTGAATGCCCAAGAGAAAGGTTTCTGAGATCTGCTTACAGTGATAGAAGGGTTTGGCCCCTAACAGCCCTCACATTTTCCTTCACTGGGTCTTCTTGTAATTTCTGGGGCAATAAAAGCTGAAGTGAAAAACCACTGAGATATTACACGCATAGATCTAGACCTACAAGGAGGTGAAACCAATGTCCTGGTTAAGGCAAAATTTCATCCACTGTCCAAGTGGCAAATGTTTAGTGTGTGCTGTAAGGAAGCGTATACCCCTTGTTGCATCACGTCGAGAAAACGGCGTTCCTTTTATTGTCAGTGCAAACAGTCTTTGTTATTATATTTACTCAGGTTTTTTGGTATCATATAACTGAATGACAGATTATAGAAAGCATATCCCCTTTTTATAGTGGCAGGTGTGGAGAGCCCAATTTAGTGACTCACTTCAGCCCTCTCTCTTCCACTTAACTAGCTATGTGCTTTCCTGCAGGTGGTTGGTAGGCTTTCCATTTCTTGAACAAAGGCGTGGCTCTAACAGAAAAGGAGTCTTACTTTCAAATTACTCAGAAAGAAGACTTGTTATAAAACTTTTCTTTGGAAATCAACACCAGTATTTACTTGTGTTCTTAAGAATAACCTTACGAGAGGAAGATGGGCACGGATGTTAGCTCAGGGCCAGTCTTCCTCAGCAAAAAGAGGAGGATTGGCAGCAGTTAGCTCAGGGCTGATCTTCCTCAAAAAAAAAAAAAAAGAATGATCTTATATAGCAAATTATTTCAAATGCCTACACACATATTTAATGTAAGCTGGTTCACTGGAAATGTTTATAGATAGTAAGCCACTCAAAGTTACAGTTTTATGGATATTATAGCTTTATGGGTGAGAATTTCTTTGGCCAAGATGAGCATCTAGTGATAGTTGCTTTTAAAAAGTTAAAAAGAGAGAAATGGGTGGTAAATCTTAAGAGCCTTAGTCCACCCATTCATCAGATTGGTAAAGCAGACCCAAATTTGTTTTTTCAGGTGAGGCTTAACCTTACTCAAGGTTTGTTTTTGTTTTTTCTTATGTCTAGTGATCTGAATTCCATCCATTTAGCTAATTGCTTAAAACTTCTCCCAGATTAAACCAGACCAGGAGAGCGTGTCATACTGTAGAGCATCGCTGTGGCCCCATGTAGAATCGCTTTTGCTGGCTTGTGCTCCAGTGTGTTGCCATTGGCCATAGTGAGCAGCATCTTTGGGTCAGCCTTGAGAAATGGATTGTTGAATTTTAAACTTGGAATCTTGGTCAAGGTCATTGTTTTGAAAATTCCAGTGCCTGTTTTCAGATGATCCAAGTTAGAAGTAGTCATCTACTCAGGAATGCAAATCTAGGCTTTCCCACAGCAATTGGTTTGTTTGCATCCTCTGAGTTCTCTAAATGACACAACTGCACTTGTTTTCCTCTCTCATTTGACTGCTAGAATGCTCAGAATGGCCTACCTCTGTCAAATACTCAGAAACGCATTTTGGTATATCATACAATAGAATCATCTCTTTATCGTCCTAAGTCTGAGATGAAACTAAAGGAATTTTGAAAACCGGAATATTAGGATAATAACCCATTCCCCATGCAGTAAGATGTACATTCTTTGGCGCCTTCATCATGTAACATACACCGAGCAGCTACAACTAGGGCCGCAAACTAGGGATGCCTACAAGGGCCAGGCTGGTGAAATAAATGCGTGACTATGGCTGCATACAA